CCATTTTGAGTAGCCAATATCCAAGTTACCCATCCCTGTCTACTCTGTGTATGGAGGGGGTGGGAATGATCCTTGCTGTAAAGATTTATTCCCTCTTTTGAGCTACTGCATCCATAGGTGTAGGTCAAGTTCATCAAATTGTATCCGATTACTATTTTTTTTCCCTCTTCTTTCTTCTTCTAGTTGAGCTCTGATAATCCAGTCATTGAAGCCTGGTCAAGTGGGTATTGTCTGCAAGTGTGGGTGTTCTTGTGCATACACCCTCTCTTCTTATCCGCTGGACGCTTCACTCTCTACTCTAGTCCTCTGTGGCTATGTCACTGACTCTGGGCCCAAGAGTCTCCAGGTCTTGCCACAATGCTGGCCAACCAGGTCTTCACCGGAGTTCACAGAAGTCTATTGAACATTGTAGGGCTTAGCTCGCAGCTTCATTGCTGGTTTTCCCTCACTTCAAATCTCTGCAGTTTTATGACCACAGAATGTGGTAGAGAGGAAGCTGTATGCAGATTCCTAAAATAAGCTCAGAAAAGACCGTATGAGAGGGCTCCAAAAAGTTGGTAGAAAAATGGAATGAAAAGAAAATGGCCCCCCTCCTAGATGGAAACTCAAAGGGAATAAGTGAGCAGGCATGTACGCTTACTGGGGACTGCGTTGGTCTACATGTGAGTGGAAGTGGGAGAAAGTCAGTAATGAAGACATGGGCTGAGTTCAGCCATGTTCCATAGACTCCTGTCAACCTTGAGATAAGAGAGAGAAGAGGAATGGCTGGTTGGTCCGAAGTTTGAGGAGACTTGGAGACTCCTGAGCCCACGAATGTTGACCTAGCCATGGAGGTCTAGAGCTGAGAATGAAGCGTTCAGCTGATATGAAGTGAGGGGAGACAAACAAGAACACCCAGACTTGCAGTTAGTACCCATTTGACCTAGCCTTGATGGCTTGATGACCAGAGCTTAACTAGAGGAAGATAAAGAAATTTGATAAAGGAAGCAAGTGCAAATTGCTACAATTTGATGAACTTGACCTATACTTATGGATGTAATAGCTCAAAATACCAACTGAGAGGGAAGGAGTCTTCACATCAAGGATCACACCTATCCCCTCAGTATACAGGGTTAATAGAGCAGGGCAACTTAGACATTGGTTACCTAAAATGGCGGCTGGGGGCTGGGTCCTATAAAGGCATGAAGTGGCTGGCTTACAAGTTTTCAAGAGGGAGTTTAGTTTCAGAGTGTGTGGGGGAAGGTAGAATCGCCACTGAATATTTTTCATCTTGTCTAGTTAGGTCTGGTGAAAGGAGATGGGGATAGGACTCTTATGATTCGATAGTGAGTAATTGGTATCATGACTAATTGCAATTGTCACAATTGTAAAGGTAGAAGTTTTGTAACAAAAAGAGGGGAATAGTTGATCTTACATTCCAGGAACAGAGGACTCTAGGACCATCAAAGGAGATGAGCATGAGCGGAATGTGGGACCCTAACCAGAGAGGCAGCGACACCAGAGATGGAGGCAGAGATGATGACATGGAGGGAGAGCAGTTGAGGACTCTAGACTCATGGAAAGAGAAAGGCTGTGTGCTGATGGCCAGGAGGCAGGCTTGCAGAATGTGCCCTTTAGTTATTTAAATGATTATATGTTTCTAAGTGTTTTTGTGTGCATCAAAACAACAACAAAACCCAGAGGGAATAGAAGCAAACACTATTAACTGATGATGCATGGAGGGGATTGTAGTCATTGCAATGAAACAAAATATGATAGGATGAGTGCAAAACTGATGTTCTCCCATGTAAACTAACACTCAATTCACAATAAAAGCATTAAAAATAAAAAAGATAATGTAATTTTTTCACATGCTTTTTGAAGCCTCCTTGTGTAGCTACCATTTTGTTTACTGGAATAATCTAGGAAGACTCCATGAGCCCTTCAGCCCTCATATAAGCTGTCTGCATGGAAGTGTTCGTGTTGTAAGGAAGCCTAAAGCAGAAAAACACATACAGAGGCTCTGGGAGATGCTTCAGTTGCACATCCCGTTTGATTGAAGCTGCAAGACTGATGCTAAAGCCAGCACTCAAGTGAGCCCTTCTCGAAGAAATCTTGGCCCACAGAAACCATGAACAACAATAAAATGTCATTCCTTGAAGCTCCTCTGTTTTGAAGGGATTTGTTATGGGTCCCAGCTAAAGAGAACAGTAACCACATCCGGTTTCCAGGGAGGTAAATGTAGTGTCCAGTGGTCATCGTGGCACCAGCATGTCCTTATCAGACCAGTTCCGTGACGTGATTGTGGCTGAGCCACCATGGCTGGCCAGAGGCCAATGTTCATGCTCATTTTCGGCTTCTGGTTCTCCAGGGATTCTGGGAGGGACTCAAAACTCTTTCAATAAATGTCCTTGTTGCCCCAGAAATGGTTTCTATTGCTTGGAATGAAATCTTCTGAGCTCTTGGTGGTGATGGTGGTGGTTATGTGCCGTGGAGTCGGTTCCAACTCATAGCGACCCTTTGCAGGATTTCCGAGGCTATACACTGCCTTCTTCTCAACTTTTGAGTCTCTGGTTGGACGTCTCTGACTCCTGCAACTGCCAGGCTGGGTCAGCTGCCCCCTTGGGGTTCCTACTGTTCTTGGGGGTCCTTCCTCTCAGTTCTTCATAATTTGGGTGGCCACTCTCTGAACCCCAAGTTGTCAGAGCTGGGATTGTTGTCATCATTGCTGTTCCCAGCCCAGGGACGGCACAGGGCAGGGAGAAGGTGGGTCCTTCTTTTACAAACTTGTTGTTATGTGTTGTTGTATCAGCTCTGACTCATTGTGACTGTAAAGGAGCTCTGGTAGTGTAGAGGTTATGAATGGGGCTGCGAACCTCAAGGTCAGCAGTTCGAAACTGCCAGTTGTTCTGCAGGAGAAAGATGAAGCATTTTGCTCATGTAAAGATTTACAGCCTTGGAAACCCTGTACAGGATCTCTATGAGTCGGAACCAACTCCACGGCACTTAACAACAACATAGGTTTTCCCAGGCTGTAAATCTTTACAGGAATAGAAAGCCTTATCTTTCTCCTAGGAAGTGGCTGGTGGGCTAGAACAGCCGACCTTGTTATTCGAAGTCCAGTGCTTACCCTATAAAGCCACAGCTTCTCAAACTAGTGACTTAGTATCTAGGATTTTTTTTTTTGTCCATATAGGAGGAGTGGGGTATGAGAGCCAAGGATTCCGAACTCCCAAATCCTGAGGGCAAAAGGGAAGATTTGAAGGATGAAACTGAAGGGAGGAGCAGATTCCATTTGAAGGTCTGATGGAAGAGGAGACTGGGGATCCCCTGACTCTTGAGCCCAGAGGAGCTGGTCCCCCACTCTTGGCTCTCTGATCCCCACTGTCCAGGGTCAGTCAGGTGGGGATTAAACCTCTGGGATTGCCCGTTCCCAATCCCAAACTGCCCCCTGGCGGTTGCCTTATTCTTACTCCACAAACCAGAGACAACAAACCAGGTTTAGCAGTTTATTTCCGCTTCATAAACCCTTCCAGCCCCTGGCGCCCCCTTTAGCAGCACATCTTGGTACCCTGTTAGGTGGATAGAGAGGTGGGTTAGATCTGATCACATCAAGTCTGGTGGGGTGGGCTGGGGCAGGATAGAGATGGGCCAGGGGATGAGGGGAGACTCACCGAGCCTCCAGGCCTGGGCAGCGGTCAGGGTCAGGGCCACTTGGACAGAGGGGCTTTCCTTTCAGGAGTTTCTACAATGGACACAGTTGGAGGGGGCCAGTTGACTTCCTGTGGTCCAGCACTTTCCCCTCTACCCCCTGAGTCCCTCTTTCCCAAGCAGCTCTGGACAGCCGCCTGCCCCACTTACTCTGTGTGCCCCTCCCTGGCCTGGGAGCTAGAGTTGGCCTCCCAAGGGACTGAGGCCACGGTCCTGATTTTTGGCAGGGGTAAAGGGGCTCGGAGTCTGGGGAGGGCCAGAGGTCCCTGGGAGGGGAGGAAACAGAGACATGTCAGAGCTGAGCCATAGCTGTGGGCGTGGCATTTCACTTCATAGGTCCAGGCTGTGGTGGGGCTGTGTTTCCCCAAATCCACACTGCTGTCTCCTTCGCACCTGTGCCTTCAATACAGAATATTTCAGTTGTTTGTCCATCCATCCATCTGTCTTTCCATTGTCCACTTACCTATCCATCCATCCATCTTTTCATCATCCACCTACCTATCCACCATCCATCCATCTTTCCATCATCCACCTACTTATCTATCCATCCATTTATTCATATATCCATCTATCTTTCCATCATTCACCTATCTATCCACCTTCTTTTTCAACATCCACCTATCCATCCATCCATCCATGCATTTATTCATTCATCTATATCCATCTATCTTTCCATCATCCACCTATCTATCCATCCATCCATCCATCTATGAACTAGGTGTCTTTCAGCTCTGAGCACTTTAGTGTCTCCCTTTGGAGAATGGGATCACGATAGTACCTAACTCCTTGGGTTGCCATGACAACCAAATGTATATGTTAAAAAGCAAGCACAGCCCTTGTTCGCCTCAAATCTGCACCCTGACTCTTGGTAACCCCACGCACATGAAACTACACATAAGAAAATACAACACTCTCTGGTCCTAAGCCATTCCCACGATCGGTTGGGGATTGGAACTTTGTGATCCACAGGGTTCTTTCTCATTGGCTGATTTTCAGAAGCAGATCCCCAGGTCTTTCTTCCTAGTCTTTCTCAGTATGAAAACGCCCCTGAAACCTGTATAGCATCTCAGCCACACTAAACCTCCACTGACAAATGGGTAGTGGCTGCACATGAGGCACCTTGGCTGGGAATTGAACCCTGGTATCTTGTACTGTTGTTGTTGTGTGCTGTGGAGTTGGTTCTGACTTATAGCGACCCTGTATAGGGTTTCTGGGGCTGTAAATCTTCATGGTAGCAGAAAGTCTTATCTTTCTCCCTTAGAGTGACTGGTGGGCTTGAACAGCTGACCTTGTGGTTAGTCGTCCAGTGTTTACCCTACAGAGCCACTAGCGCTCTGGTCTCTTGCATGGGAGACAAGAATGGGACCACTGAACAGCTATGACCCTTTCTCAGTGGATGCTCTGTGGCACTGTGGATCAGCATGTCAGTGGTTCAAATCCCAGACACTCCTGGGAAACCCTACACAAGGTCACCATGAGAGAACCAATTCAACAGCACTTACCAAAAACATCCCCAGTAAGGACTCCTGGTGTGGCACTGTGCATCAGCACTGGACTGCGAACCACAAGGTCGGCTGTTCAAACCCCCAGCTGCTCCTTGGAAACCCTATACAGGGTCACTAGAAGTAGCAAAGCCCAATGTGCCCCCCCAGGCTGCCTCTTCTATAGCATGTGCTGAAGGATGGAGAAGTAGAAGGTGGCTTGGATTTTGAATCAGGTAGGGTCTGGGGAGAAGAGACAAAGGCTGACAGGATGGTAGGCACAGCCCTGGCAAAGATGCAACCAACCATCCAGAGGTGCCCGTTAGCTGGCCGTGATGCTGTGCCCCCACACTGTCCTCGGAGTCAGCTGAGTGCCTCTTAATGTTCCATTTGTATTTGGCTGCAGGTTGGATCTGTTTTTAGCTTGGCTGGCTCGGCTCACCGCCGGGTGCGGGGTAGAAAGGGGGGGGTGCCCACAACCTTCCTGCTGGCTTTCTTGTTTGCTGTAGTCAAATAATGTTCCCGGACTTCCTGAGTTGTTTGTTTGAAGAGGCGCAGTATTGATTTAATCCTACCCACAGAGATCTGCCCCTCCCCAGCAGAGGTTCAGGGGCTGGAAAATCCTGCCGGTGGTGTGTGTGTGTTGTGTGTGTGTGTGTGTGTGCGCGGGGGAAGCAACCCCCAGGGCTTTGGTTTCCTTATACATCTGCTTAAAACAAAAGCAGAAGGTTTGAGAGGATTTTAGGCAGATCAGCACAGTGGTACAGTGGTTAAAATGCTTGATTGTTAACCATAAGGTTGTTGGTTCGAACCTACCAGCCACTCCACAGGAGAAAGATGCTGCAGTCTGCTTCTGTAAAGATGTACAAGCCTTGGACACCCTAGGGGGCAGTTCTGTTGTTGTTATGTGCTGTGGAGTTGGTTGGACACATAGGGACCCTGCATAGGGTTTCCGAGGCTGTACATCTTTATGGGGGTAGAAAGCCTCATCTTTCTCTCGTGTAACAGCTGGTAGTTTTGAACTGCTGACCCTGAGGTTAGCAGCCCAACTCGTAACCACTATGCTATGAGAGCTCCTCATGGGGCAGTTCTACTCTGCCCTAAAGGGTTGCTATAAGTTGGAATCAGCTCAACAGTCTTGGATTTGGGTTTTTAGTAAAGCCTCTCCATAGAAGAAAGATGAGGCTTTCTGCTCTTGCAAAGATTTAAAGCTTTGGAAACCCTCAACAGGGTCGCTGTGAGTCGGAACCGACTCAACGGCACTTAACGACAACAACTCCAATACTGGCCTAAGGCAGACGAAGTCACTTTTCTGAGATTATTTCTTCTAGAAAATGGAGAGAAGGACGTTATTGACTTCAGCAAGCCACGGAGAAGACTCAATTCAATGTATTCAAATGATGCCTATTTAATGAACACCAGAACTCTTAACAATAACAATGACAACAACTATGTGTCAGGAGTCCTGGTGTGGTGCTGTAGGATAAGCTTTGGACAGCTAACTACATGGTTGGCAGTTCAAAGCCACCAGCGGCTCCTTGGAAACCCTAAACAGGGTTGCTGTGAGTTGGAACCGACTTGATGGCTTTTGACAACAAAAACAGTGTGGGGTAGAGTTTTCACTTTCTGTACAGGAGATCCAGCCAGTGTACCACATGCTCAGTCACCGCCCATCTGTCAGGGGAGGCTCAGGTGTTGCTTTGCTGTTTAACAGGTTTCACTGGAGTTTCCAGACTAAGATGGAACTAGGAAGAAAGACCTGGTGATCTCCTTCTGAAAATCAGCCAATGGAAAGTCTAGGGATCACCTGGTTTGATCTGCAACGAATCATGGGGATGGCGCAGAACCAGACACCTGTTGCCTGGTTCTGCATTTGGTTCTGTTGTGCTTGGGGTTGTCATGACTTGGGGCTGACTTCACATCAGAAAACAACAGCTATGTGTCAGGCATTGTTCTCGACTCTGGTGATGTAACAGAGAAGAAGGTGCCTTGGAAGACAAGCCTGGCAATCTACTTCCAAAAGGTCACAGCCTTGAAAACCCTATGGTGCAGTTCTACTCTGCCGGAATGGTAGCCAACAATTACAACACAATGGCCTAAACCTCCGGGGATTACAACAGGCTGACAGTGACATTGCCCTAGAGTCGATTCCAACTCACAGGGACTCTGACAGACGGAGTAGAGCTGCCCAGAGGGTTTCCAAAACTATGCATTTGTGGAAAAGCCTCGTTTTTTCCTCCTGTGAAGAGGCTGGTGGGTTTGAACTGCAGACCTTTTAGTTGACAGCCAAGGGCTTGGACACAAAGCTGTATAATCAGTCAGAGCCAGGTAGTGGAAGGGCTACGGAAATACAACGGAGCTGGGGATGGAGACAGGGGGGTGCTGCGTTCAGTAGGGCGGTCAGGGAAGGTCTCCCTGAGGAGAGGGAGAGAAAATGAACCTGGGGGAAAGGAGCTCTACATACACGCAACAGTCAGTGCAAAGGCCCTGAGGTGGGTCCTGAGCAAGAAAGCCAGGGAGATCACCAGGTCTTTCTTCCTAATCTGAAGGCGCCACTGAAACCAGCTCAGTATCTTAGCAACACACAAGCTTCTGCTGACAGACAGGTGGTTGGGAGTGAGAGAGAACTTGGAGAAGTGATCACACAGGGGTGGGGGCTCTATTGGAAGTTTGGGTAAGGGAGACTGGCTTAACCTGACCTTCCAGGGCCTCCAGCCAGACCTGGGACCCTGGGGTGGAGGGAGATCTGAGCCACCCACCCCAACGCAGAGCTTGACTCACCACCTTCAGTCCACCTGTGCTCCTGGGTCCTATGGGGGGTAGATCGAGCCGAGGGGGAAGAGGGGGCACTGAGGGGACCACCTGGGGTGAGAGAAGGTGGGGAAGAGGTTGTGATCCATCAGCCACTCTCCCCTCCCCTCCCCTCTGTCCTCCTGCCTTGGGTCCTGCCTGTCAGGCACAGTGCTCCCGTCAGGAGAGATAATGGTGACAACAACAAAGTCTTAACACTCGCTGGGTTATAACCCAAGAAAGCCCCAGACCTCAGGGAATCAAAAGTCCAGGCCCCCAGCTACGTCCTCCTCAGACCCAGGAGTCCAGCCCCCAGCCCCTCCTCCCTCAGACCCAGAAGTCCAGCCCCCAGCCCCTCCTCCCTCAGACCCAGGAGTCCAGCCCCCAGCCCCCTCCTCCCTCAGACCCAGGAGTCCCAACCCCTAGTCCCTCTTCATCCAGATCCAGGAAATCCAGACCTAGGTCCTGCCTGACCCCCTTACCTGCCCCATAGTCTCCTCATTGTCATTCAGGTCACTGCTGTCCCATGAGTCCTCAGAAGCCACAGACCTGGCCTCCACAGGCCTCCCTGGGAGCTGATGGACACTCACCGGCTCTCGGCCCTTGATCTGGCAGCGGCAGAAGGGGCATGTCTGGCTGTCTGAGTGCTGGGGAGAAGGAAGGGGAGGATCAGTTGTGTTCCTGATCAATTCTCCATCAAGTCCTTCCATCCACAATGGACGAACGGGGCAGGACAGACAAGACAGATAGGAAATACATGCACACACATATATATCCTGGTATGGCTCTGTAGGGTCAGCAGCGGACTTCAACCTACAAGGTCAGCAGTTCAAACCAACCTTGTAGTCCAGTGCTTTATCCCACAGCACCACCCCAGGACTCTCTATATATGTGTGGTTAAGTGCCATCGAGTCAGTTCAGATCCAGGGCGACCCTGTATAGGGTTTCCAGTGAGAAGCTGGTGAGCTTGAACTACCGACCTTGAAGTTCAAATGACTTTGCAGTCTGATGCATTAACCCACAGCGCCATACTAGGACTCTATCTATATATATGAGGGTAAATGAAAAATTATCTGCACTCTGGCTATAAATTTCTCTTAATCAACTTTCAGAAAAGACAAACACATCATTCTTAGACATAATCTTGTTTTCAATACACTTTGTCCATCTGTCAACATGCTTTAGTAATCCCTTATTAAAAAACGTTTTCGGCTGAGCTGTGAGCCACGAATGCACCGCTGTCTTCACTTCTTCATCAGACGTGAATCTTTGTCCTTGAAGGACTGCTTTCAGGGGAGCAAACAGGTGACAGTCTGATGGAGCAAGATCAGGACTATAGGGAGGATGCTTTAACACCTCATTATGATTTATTTTGCAGAGTGTCAACAGTGTGGGCAGAGGTGTGCAGACAGGACATGCATTGTCATTGACATGCAAGATCACAATGCCTTTAGACAGCAGTCCTCTGCATTTAATCTGAAGTTCAAGCTTCAGTTCTTCAAGGAGCCTCTCACTGTAACAAGCACAGTTGATAGTTGAACCTTTTTTCTGATAGTGTTCCAATACTGGCCTATGAGAATCCCAGACAACTGTAAATATCAATTTTCCAGCTGATGGTTGACTTTTTAACTTTTTCTTGGTCAGCAATTGAGGATGTTTCTATTCCATACTCTGCCATTGACTCTCAGGCTCGTAGTGATGAATCCATATCTCATCACCAGTAACAATTTTGTTTTTAAAAAAAGAAACCTTTACCTTCATTTGAATGTCGGTTCAAATTTTGTTTGCAGCTGTCCAAACACTTCTGTTTATGTTCTTCCAAGAGCTGTTTCAGTATTCCTCTCACAGAAACTTCCAAACCCCAAGTCTGTTGTGGATGATTCTATAGGTAGAGCCCTGGCTGCTTTGCAGATGGATTTCCCCCGTTACGCGTCTATTCACCAGAATCATTTCACGTGCACGCTCAATGCTGTCATCATCCGCGGACGTGGACGGGTGTTTTAATATAACCGGAATGCAGATAATTTTTGACTCACCCTCATGTGTGTGTGTGTGTGTGTGTGTGTGCATGCGTGCAGAGAGACAGACTGAAGTGTGTGACAGAGAATATGAAAGAGTGTCAGAGAATGAAAGCGGAGTAAAAGAGAATGAGTGAGAATGAGGGGGAAACTGCTGGCAGCAGGGGTCGGGAGACGCGCCCACAGACAGAGTCCGGTGGACTCTATGACCACAGCACCGGTGTCCCAAGGCCCTCTCTGGGCTGGACGTTTGCTGAGTGATTCCGGGCTCAAGTCCTCACTAGGACCCTTGGAAGTTTCATGTCACCAGCTCCCCTCTCCAGAGGGTGAGACTTAGGTTCAGAGAAGTGAAGACCTTGCCCCAGATTACACAGCAAATAAGGGACAGAGAGGCCTTTCCCACTAAATGTAGCTGGAGAAGGAGCACCGGAGACACAGAGGACTAGCCTCCTGTTCTCACACCTGGGGAAGGCCTCTGTTGTCTCATCTGATCAAGTAAGCACACACGAGTCCTCTGAGTCCTTGGAAGGAGCAAACAGTTACTCATTCCACTACTAGCTGAAAGGTTGGAGGTTCAAACCCACCCAGAGTCACCTCAGATGACAGGCCTGAAACATCACAGCTTTGAAAACCCCACGGAGCAGTTCTGCTGTGCACACGTGGTGATGGCAGGATTTGGAATAGACCGAATTGTAACAACTAGGGTTTCACCTCCAAAGAGAGGGGGTCACGGCAGGAGGATAGGACTGGAAGGCAGGGTTAGGCCAGACCCACCTGCCAGGTAGCCAGACAGCGGCTACAGAGCAGATGCCCGCACGGCTCAATCTTTACATCCTTGTTGCTCTCGGCACAGATTTTGCAGAGCTCGAACGTAGAGTCCATGGCCCAGTAAAGCTGCAGTTGCTCCTGGTGGGGAAAAAAGAGGAAGAAAAGGAAGAAGCAAAGGGGTGGGCATCAGGCATGGGGATGTAACTCGGGCTAAAAAAGAGGGTCCCAGACTTCTGTTCCAGCCCAGGCCCTCTTCCAAGCTCAAGTTCTCCTACACGTCTTGTTCTGAAACGCTTTCAGTAGGAAATGTATCTACCAGATTCAGCAAATAAAAATATAGGATGCCCAGTTCAATTTGAATTTCAGATCCACAATGAACGATTTCTTTAAAATATAAGTACATCCCAAATAAGGTCTCTGGGAGATGGCACAACCTAGAGGCTGGTGTGTGTGTGTGTGTGTGTGTGTGTGTGTGTTTTAAAAGCACATCCCACAGTATCACGGAAGAAAGTCCTGGCGATCTGCTCCTATCAAGATGACAACCAAGCAAACCCTATTGAACAGCTTTACTCTGTCACATGAGTCAGAATCGAGTGGATGACAACAGTTTTTTTGTTTGTTTATGTTCCAAGTATTGCAAGGCACGTGTTGTTATTGGTGTGTGGGGTAAACTATTCCGTAAGGTATTTTAAACTTTCAGTAGCAGACTGCTAAGGCCATTTTTTCTGAGGCGCCTCTGGACGGGGTTCAAACTGCCAACTTTTAGTGTTGAGTGCTTCATGGCTTGCTCCACTCAAGAAGTCATTGATACTAAAAATTTATTTGTCTCTGTTTCTTGCCCATGGGGTGGTTGGGAAGGTTAAAAGCTGGCACCGGGACTGTCCCTGGTGGATGTTCTTCAAGTACATTAGCCCTTCTGATGATCTCAGCAGCTCCGTTTTCATCTCCACAATAACCCCTGGGAAGGAGGAAGGAGGAACCGAATATTCTAGAGGAAGAGCTGAATTTCACAGCGGCCAAGTCATTTGCTCAAAGTCACTAAACTGCCTAGCCAGCACTTCAGGGCGAGACCTCAAAGATTGCAGGGTCTGAGGCTGTGAGGATGATCCCTGAGGTGATAGAGCCCAGAGTAGGGCTGTGGGCACAGGCCCGGCTCACCTCAGACACCTGGATGTGCTGGTGTGGTTCCACGCGGAGGAGTTCAGTCAGGTCTGGGTTGTGATTCTTCCCATCTGGGTAGAGGTAGCTGGAGGAACAAAACAGGGGCATACTGAGGAACCATCCAGACTGACAAGCTGCCCTACAGCTCCCTGGCATGAGGATCTGCCCAAACCCGTTGCCGACCTGGAAATAAATTTCCTTTCTCAGATTGGAACTAACTTCTTAGGACATGCTTCTCCTCAGACCCACGAGCAGGGCCACGTCCCCTCAGACTGCCTAATTCAGGGTCATATCTCCTCATTCCCTTAAACCCTGAGGACAGGGCTATGTTCTTTCAGACCCTCAGGGAAGGGCTGAGAGAGATTGAAGCAGAATAGGGAACTGGACAAAATCTTGGATCACTGCTCCCAGAAATACCCCTTTCAAGATGCTTCGGGTCTGAGCACAGAAGTTTCTTCGGGTCACAGAGCCTGGGAGTGGTCACATCCTACAGTCTTAGACCATCAGGGCTTGGGAGGACCCTCAGACCACCCAAACTACTTCTCACTTTATAGATAATGACTCAGGGCTCCGTGTGGGAAACGCTGGTCCAATGGCACACAAGGAAACCGGGAGAGACACAGAACTGATCTGTGGGCCAGATCTTAGGACTGGGCTCTAAGGAGGACTCTACGAAGGTTCTAGACCCTCACGGTCTCCCACGTGGGTTAAAACAATATCTTCAGATTCAGTCCCCAGAGGCCTGAGTTCCGAAGTGGCCCTCCCACAAACACCTTGTGACCTGGACCTCAATTTCCCTTTCAATAAAATGGACGTAATCATGCCTAGGGCAATGATTGAGAGAGCTGTTGGCATTAGGATAAGCACTGGACTGCTAACCGCAAGGTCGGCAGTTCAAATCCATCAGTTGCTCTGCGGGACTGAGATAAGGCTTTCTGATGCTATAAAGATTTATAGCCCCGGGAAACCATATACAGGGTCACTATGAGCCAGAACCAACTTGAAGGCACCTAACAACAAAAAGGGAAATGACTAAGTGCTCAGCTGCTAACTGGTTAAGGACTTGGCTGCTAGCTCTGTGGCAAGCAGTTTCATAAAGATAACAGCCAAGAAAACCCCACGGGGTAGCTCTGCTCTGTGCCATGGAGTCGGCTAAGAGTTGAAATTGACTTAACAGCACCCACCAACACCAACAAAAGGGCAAAAGTGGGTGATGGGTCCTGGGTCCAGAGTCAGTGACATAGCCACAGAGGACTAGAGTGGAGAGTGATGTGTCCAGCTGATAAGAAGAGAGGGCATATGCATAAGAACACCCACACTTGGAGATAATACCCACTTGACCAGGCTTCAATGGCTGGATGATCAGAACTCAACTAGAAGAAGAAAGAAGAGGAAAAAAAGAGTAATCTGATATAATTTTATGAACTTGACCTACACCTATGGATGCAGTAGCTCAGAAGAGGGAAAAAATCTTTACAGCGAGGATCATTCCCACCCCCTCGGTACACAGGGTAGACAGGGATGGGCAACTTGGACATTGGCTGCCCAAAATGGAGGGCTACAAAGGCAAGAAGTGACTGGCTTACAAGCTTTCAAGAGGGAGCCTAGATCCAGAGGGTGCAGAGGAAGGTAGGATCTTCACTGAATAGTATCCGGTCTGTCTGGATGGAGCTGATGAAAAGAGATGGGGATAGGACTCTTGTACAATAGTGAATAATTGTCATCAGGACTGACTGTGAGGGTTGGAAATGTAAAGGTAGACATTTTGTAGCAAAAGGCGGGGAGTGGTTGACTTTGCAGTCCAGGTGCAGAGGTCCCTGGGACCATCAGAGGAGAAGAGCAGAGTGCAAGACCCTACCCAGAGAAACAGTGACGCCAGAGATGGAGGCAGAGACGATGACGTGGAGAGAAGGAGCAGCTGGGAAATCTAGACCCAGAGAGGGAGAGGGGCTGTGTGCTGACAATGGGGGTCAGAGGGGTGGGCAGAGTTTCAGAGTATACCCTTTGGTTGGTTGATGATGCATGGAGGGGATTGTAACCATGGCAATGAGACGATATATGATAGAATGAATGTAAAGTTAATGTTCTCCCATGTCAACTATCACAGAATTCACAATGAAAAAAAGTGGGTGATGGGGATTAAATAAAATGGTGCTAGCAACATGTTAAAAGGATCCCTGGAGGCGCAGTTAGTTAAGCATTGAACTGCTTGACAGATGTTGGCGGTTCAAATCCACCAGCCTCTCTGTGGAAGAACGATGAGGTGATCCCTCCCATAAAGATTGACGGCCTCGGAAACCCTAGGTAGCAGTTCTATTCTGTCTTATAGGGTCGCTATGAGCTGGAATCGACGTAGTAGTAGGGGGTTTGGTTTTTTGGTTCTAGTAATATGTTGAATCCACCAGTGGCTCCAAGGGAGAAACGTGGCAGTCTGCTTCTTCTATAAAGAATTATAGTCTCGGAAACCCTATGCTGTTGTTGTTAAGTGATGTCTAGTTGGTTCCGACCTATAGCAACCCTGTATAGGGTTTCTGAGGAGCCGCCAGTGGGTTTGAACCGCCAACCTTAGGGCACTTCTGTTCTGTCCTATAGGGACTCTGTGAGTCAGAATCAATTTAATGGCAATAGGTTTGGGATTTTGGGTTTTAGTTAGTCACATGTTAAACCCACTAGCCGTTCTGGGGGAGAAAGACATGGCGGTCTGTTTCTGCAAATAGTATTGTTGTTGTTAAGTGTGGTGTTCTGACTCATAGTGACCCTGTATAGGGTTTCTGAGGTTTTCAATCTTCAAGGGAGCAGAAAGCCTCATCTTTTTACCGCAGGTCAGCAAGCAGGTTCAAACCTCAGACCTTGTGGTTCGCAGTCCAGTGCTTATCCTACAGAGTCACTTATCTGTAAAGATTACCACCTTGGAAACCCCATGGGACAATTCTACCGTGTCCTTTATGGGCGCCATGGGTCAGAACTGACTCAACCACAGCTGGTTTGGCTTTGGCTCTTGGTAACATGCCCAGCATGGTCCTGGTGTGGCAATGTAGGATAAGCACTGGACTGCTAATACAAGGTCAGGGGTTCAAACCCACCAGCTGCTCCTAGAAATTCTATACAGTCACCAACTTGATGGCACTTAACAACCACAACGATTAGCTTTAGGCCCCCAAAGCCGTCTTGCTGCTGTGTTTGAAAGAGCTCTGTGTCCCCTCCTTTTTCTCTGGGCCTTGATTCTTCCCAACTGTAAAATGGTAGTGGGGGTGGAGGAGGGGAGGGAGAGTTGGGCTAGATGATTAGGGTTCATGCTGACTAACTCTGGATCTCCTCCTCCTCCAATGAAATGAGCTGGGGCTCCAGCAGCAAAGACTTGGACTCTAAGCCTGGCTACCTGGTTTCAAATCCCAACGTGTTAGTTCAGTTGCTATGTGACCCGGGACAAGTAACTCTGCTTCTCTGTGCCTCGGTTTCCTCAGCTGTCAGATGGGTATGTGTGTGTCTCTGGGTGGCGCAAATGGATAGGCATTCGACCGTCCCTGGAAACCCTATACAGGGTTGCTATGAGTCAGAACTGACTCAATGGCACTTAACAACAACTAGTTAGTGGTTCAAACCCACCCAGAGGAGCCTCAGGAAAGAGACCTGGTTACCTGCTTCCAAAAGGTCTCAGCTTTGAAAACCCTATGGAGGGAGGGTGGGTTGGTTACTAGCTGGAGAATTGTTTGTTGTAGATAAGTTGAGTTGGTTCTGTCTCATAACAACCCTGTTTAGGGTTTCTGAGGAGTGGATGGTGAGTTTGAATCACTGACCTTGCTGGAGAAAAAAAAAAAAAAAGAAGGCGCATAAAGCATTAATTAAATTTAAAAAGAAAAGCAAGCCCTTGGAAGCACAGTTCTACTCCACATGCTGGGGGTCACCATGAGTTGGAAGGGACAAGATGACAACAGACAACAACATGTGAGTGTGTGTGTGTCTTTGTACAGATACCGAATCAGTCCTATCAGGCTCGGCTGAGGCTCTGGAATCTCACAGCTTCTGAAAGAGCAGCCCTGGGGCAGCCAGCCTAGAGGGACCCCCAGGGAGCAGTGGTGGTCCATGCAGGAGACCTGGGTTTCATTCCTGGTCAATGAAGCTCATGGGTAATCAGGAGAAACTAACCAGATTTCAGTGGAGCTTCTAGACTCAGGTGGACTAGGAAGAAAAGCCTGGCAACCTATTTCTGAAAATCAGTTAGTGAAAACCCTGTGGGACCTCTTTTGCCATGAGACCAGAAGAACGGATGGTGCCTGGTTATCATTATTGAACGTTTTGATCAAAGATGGTATAGAAGAATCCTGATCAAAAGGAGGGTGGGGGGAAATGCAGAACAGAATTCCAAATTCTCAGTGACTCCAGACTTTCTGGAGCCACAGAGACTGGATGGACCCCGGAAACTCTTGGCCTGACATCATCTTTAACCCTTAAACCAAGGATCGCCTCTGACATCTTCTTAGAATCCAACAGTAGTATAGCTTCACTAGTAAAAGATGTCTGCCAAGAGTATCCTGTAGTTGTATGAACTATCCATATGACACCAGTCACCACTTGTCTGTCAGTTTGTCATACTGTGGTGGCTTGTGTGTTGTGATGTTGGAAACTAGGCCATGGGTATTTTAAATACCAGCAGAGTCACCCGCAGTGGACAGGTTTCAGATGAGTTTCCAGATGAAGACAGACTAGGAAGTAGGAGACGAACGACTTCCGAAAATTCAGTCACTGAAAACACTGTCAGATATAGTGCTGGAAAATGAGCCCCTTAGGTTGGAAGGTATTCAAAATGCAACTGGGGAAGAGCTGTCTCCTCAAAGTAGAATTGACCGTGATGACACAATAGAGTAAAGCCATCTAGATTCTAGAACCCAAACAAACCCACTGCTATCGAATTGATTCCAACTCATAGCGACCCTACAGAACAAAGAATTGTTCCATTGGGTTGTAGACACTGTAAATCTTTGTGGGAGCCAACTGTCTCAGAGCAGCTGGTAGGTTTGAACCACCAACCTTGAGATTAGCAGCCCAATGGTTAACCTACTGCACCACCAGGACCCTTTATGAAAAATCTAGAACCTAATGGAGTCTTGGTGTGGCACTGTGGGCTAATGTATCAGACTGCAAAGTTCTTTGAACTGCAAGGTCGGTGGTTCAAGCTCACCAGCTGCTCCTTGGAAACCCTATACAGGGTCGCTATGGGTCGGAATCGTCTCAACAGCACTTAACAACTTAACAACACTAACAAGGTATGAAGCCACTGTGGTGGTATACAGTATGTGGCAGGCAGCTCTCAGAATTGCAGCTAGCTGCTAAGGCCCATTTCTCCAAGATTCTTGACTGCCACCTGGTGGAACATTGTGATTATTACAAATGTATGATGTCGCTAGGTGAATCTGGTTATTCTGGGCAGTATGCAACATACTTATACAACCCTTCACCATGGGTTCTGCAGATACCTCCCCGTTACCAGGATGGGGACTCACAAGCCTTTTCTTTGTCCTTCCAGGAGCACCTGGAACAGGGGTCTGATGGGAGGGATGGTCTGTAAGATGCTGCCCTCTGAGCTCACGTACCCGATCGCCCACTGCCCCAAGCGAGTACAGCTGGGCCGAAAGATGTAGCTGAAAGGAGAGATAGATGGGGTGGGGGGTCAGAAGAGGTCACTATTGTCCCTTCAGGGACCTTCCAGTCTTCCACCCTGTTGGGAATTCAAGTATCTAAGTCCTCATCCATTTATAGACTCACTTAGAAACCTTTTACCATTATAGGGATATCTGTTATTTTTACCTTCTTCCAGTAACAACACCTCAGTTTGTATTTGGGGGTCTTCCTCTGCTTCCCTGGACAAGGCTAGCTCTGGCTTGGCCAATCTGCACATTTCAAAACTCTTGACCACAAGGCCAGCACTTTATACCCTCCAGTTGCTCCAAGGGAGAAAGATGAGGCGATGAGGTGGTGTGTTTCCATGGAGATTTATAGCCTCGGAAACCCTAGAAGCAGTTCTACTCTGACCTATGAAGTCGATATGAGTTGGAATTGATGCGACAGCAGTGGGGTTTTTTTTTGTGTGTGTTTTTTAACCAAAACCCCAAATCCCTACTGTTGAATTGATTCTGGCTTAAAGGGCAGCCGGTGCTTCTATAAGCCACTTTGCCACTGTGAGGTGAGACTCTGTCTGGGAATGAAGTCATCTCAGGGGAAAGCAGAGATGGAGGGTGAACAGGAACCAATTCCTGGCTAACACTTGAGCACCTGGATCCAGCCATGCCTGAAACCCATACCCTTTTTAATGATTATTTTCAATTATTAGAATGAATTCCTCCCATCTTTCCCCACCTCCTTAAATCAGTTTGAAGTGGAACTGGAAGGGCTAGAACACTCACGTTCCCTGGGGATCCTTCTGCCCTGTAGGAATTGTGAATCTGACTGCTTATTCCCTTAACCTCATGGTATCCCGGACAGCCCAATCTCTCAATTCTTAACCTTCTTGGGAGACCCAGAAGCTCTGGTGCCTGGCTTCCCAGTCTCCTATCCCAGCAGGTAGGTGTCACATTAAACATTTCTAATAGATGGTGCAGCTTGGCTGCACCTGTCATGTTATCAGGATAAGTCTTAACCTGAGGCCGGGTCCTCTGCTAGACTAGGGAGTCCCTTTAGTTGCTGGATTGTGAGAAGTCCAGAGTCCAGAAGAGGGAAGAGAACAGCAGGGGTCCTCGGCATTTTACCTCTGGATCATCGACTCTCTGGGGTCCCAGAGACTTTACTCCTCACTCCCTGAAGATGGTCTGGGCTTCACCACCCACCAGCCCACGGCCCAGACACTTGAACCTCTGGCAGTCCCAACCTCCCCAGAGGCCTGGACCTCTTACCTGCCTGGCTTGTCCCTGTAGGTCTGCAGGCGTGCTTGAACCTCATCGTAAGTTAGAAAGGCCATGTAGCCAGGGTGGTTGACCGCCAGGAGCTCCCAGTTCTTGAGGAGTGTGGGCCATGGCTGGGGTGGGGCACAATGTGGTCAGGGAGGGGCCTAGGAAGCAGCTGTCTGGTGCCTATACTGCCTCCAGGGTCCAAGATTCCAGTCAGCTCACTCACGTCCCATAAGAAGTCAGGAATGTCTACATAGAAGACACAACCCCTTCCTCCCCCAGGACCCAGGAGTCCAGGCCCCTTCCTCCCTCAGACCTGGGAGTTCAGGCTCCTATACTCGTTTCCCTCAGAACTGGGAGTTCAGGCCCCCACAGCCTTCTCCCTCAGAACTGGGAGTCGAGGCTCTCAGTCCCTCCTCCCTCAGACCCAGTAGTCTGGGCTCCCAGCCCTTGCTTTCTCTGACCTGGAAGAGCCTGGTGAAGATGTCAAACTCGAAGATGGATATGTGGCCACTACACGTGAGGTCAATAGTGGAGCGCAAGGCCAGGGCAGTGGAGCCCACTTCCAGGGGGTGGCGGGTGCGCAGAAGGGACTCAAACTCAGCCCAGGGTACCAGACACCTGGGAAATGGATGAAGCTGAGGTCTCTGGGAGCCTAGCAGGGGAGGATCTTGGGAAGGAGGGGGCCGAGGCTGAACTGTCAGATCTGAGGGAAGAAGGGGGCTGGGAGCTCAGGTTTCTGGAGAGTTCTGGGGGTGATACTCCTGAGTTCTTGGGCAGGGTCAGGAGGGGGTCCAGGAGCAGTAGGCTCTGGAAGTGGGGGTGTTCACTCACCGGGTCCCACAGCACTCTCTCCAGAAGGCGTGGGCCGGCGCCTTGGTGATTTGGTACATGTGTCCACTGTACTGTCCATCTGGGAAGAGTGCACCAAGCTCCGCATGCATGTGGCTGAAGATGAGGGCCAGCTTGGCCAGCTGCCGCCTGCAGGGAAAGAGCTCTAAAGGTCTGAACTGGACTTCCTGCTCCCCAAGGAGCAAACCCACAGGAATCAGGCCCTCCCAGTCTCTAAAAATCAGCTCAGAGTAAGAGTTGGTTCAGAGTCTGCCTGTTCCGGTCCTGACTGATGCCGTCCCTTTCCTCTCTAAGGTGCCCCCCAAAATCCAAGCTGTTGCTGGATGTCATGGGATTGGCTCCCAACTTATCACCATAGGGTTTTCTTGGCTGTCATTTTTATAGAAGTAAATCCCAGGCCTTTCTTCTGCAGCACCGATAGCTGGATTCAAACCACCAACCTCTAGGTTAGCAGCCAGGCACAAACCATATGTGCCACCCAAGAGGTTGATTTGCTATAAAGAAGGATGTGGGTCTGACACAGGTGAGAACTACTCACTGCTCTAGACTTTGCTCTGGGCTTCAGACTCCCAAACCTCGCCCACCCCTTTCATTCAGAAGTCGCATCTCCAAAGCTCAGTTGTCCACTAGAGTGGACAGTCTACAGACAGGCCGTAGGTACTGAAGTAGTTCCTCAAGAACTAGAGATGAAGGCCCTGGAGAGCCAGAAGAGGGGACCTGGGTGTCCAAAGAGAGTGGGGCCTGGAGTTTATGGTACCTGGGTCCCCACAGGGGATGGATTGGAAGTCTAATTCCCCAAAAAGAGCAAGAAAAAGAAGCTACATGTTGTTGTTAAGTGCTATCGAGTCAGGTCCGACCCATAGTGACCCTGTATAGGGTTTCTGAGGAGCAGCTGGTGAGCTTGAACCTCCGACCTTGCAGTTCAAATGGCTTTGCAGTCTGGCTCATTAACCCACAGTGCCACACCAGGACTCCAAAGAAGCTATATAGACTTGTTTAAATGCCGTGGAATCGGTTCCAACTCATAGAGACCCTGTATTGGGTTTCCAAGGAGTGGCTAGTGGGTTTGAACCACTGACCTTGCAGTTAGCAGTCCAATGCTTATCCTACAACACCATACCAGGACTCACAGTGACCCCTGTATAGGGTTTGTGAGACTGTAAATCTTGATAGGAGCAGCTGGTGGGTTTGAACTGTCACCCTTATAGTTAACAACCCAATGCCTAGCTCTCAGTGCCACCAGGGCTCCTTGGCAGGGGCTGTAATAGAAACTTCAAGACCAGTTTCTCTAGGAATGTGAGCCCTCCCCTCCTCATGCAAGAAGCCTCACAGGGTCCCCACAGTCCCTGAACTTCCAGTCTGAGGACCTTTGCAAGGTGGCTGCTGGGTGACCTAGAAGGAGGGGCAATGACGACAGTAAGCCGGGGGTGGGGGGTGGTGGTGGGGTCTGGTCTCCAAGGAGGGACGATGCTGGGTGGCCCAGTTTGCCAGGTTTTCTCAGGGTGAAGGGGGCTGGGGGCTGGACTTCTGGGTCTGAGGGAGGAGAGGCTGGGGGAGGGGTCCCGTCAATCTTGGATCTGAGGGAGGAGGAGTAGAGGCGTGGCCTGAGCCTCCCTCCAGATCTCACCTTTGTCTTGGGACCAAAGCGGCCACTCACCTGAGCCTGGAGCCCTCCCGGAAGAGCTCGTCGTTGGCATCGACTCGGCCCCGGGGAGGCAGCAGCGTTGCCACCTGCTTGCCCTTGGCCTCCAGGTTGGCGAGGTAGATGACGAGGAAGTCCCCCGCGCCGCCGGGACCCTCGGGGCCCCCGCCGCCGCCCGCCGCCCGCCGGGCCTGGGACACTTTGCGTAGCAGCTCTTCTATGCGGGGCAGTAGGTCCCGCAGAGAGGGGGGACTCGAGGTGAGCCGGGGGTCCCTGCACTGCGCTTCCAGGCGCTCCAGCAGCTTCACCGTCCGGCCGAGCGCGCGGTTCTCCCCGGACTGCCGCCCCCGAGGGGCCGCCGCCGCCGCAGCCATGGGTCCCTCAGGTGTCCTGGGCGGGAAGGGTGCGGCCCAGGGTGGGGGCGGGACGGGGCGGGCCCTTTGGTACCTGTGTCTTCAAAGGGGGCGGAGGCTGAGGTTCTAAACTCCTAGAGGATAGCTGGTGTGGGTGGACGGTTATGGAGGGCTGTGGGTGGGATTGCAGGTAGGGAACCTAGGCGCCCCCCCTCACGGAGATACAAAAGGCTGACGTAAAAGTTGCAGTGGGGGACAGCCCTGGGACTTCTTTAGGAATGGGGGGGGAGGGTAGGACAAGGACTTTAACTCTCCAGACATTTCAGGGAGGCGGGGCGGACAAGCAGAGCTCCTAGGTTGCTTCTGGGATTAAAGGCCAGAGAGCCGTCCTCTCTGACAGGGAAGCGGTGCTGTCCCTTTGTCCCCAAGAAGGAAGATACAGCGTGACCATATTCCCAGGTTCCATAGCAGCAGAGCGTCTGAAGGGACAGGAATTTGGCGACAAAATTCTTGGGTTCCATGACCTGCCGGGCCAAATCAGACTGGAGTTGGAATACCCAGATTTGCAAAATTCAAGAACTGAGTTGCAGACTGAGTTCAAGAACGTGAGGGCCAGGTCTCAGTGGCATCACCGGGGAGGGGCGCTCTGTCCTCCATGAGTTACCTCACTGGGTGACACCAACCCGAGTAATGCCACTGCCGGGGTTCGACCTGCGGGGGTGCAGGGTTTTACGGGGCGCGATCCTGTCCCCAGAAGGTGCAGCATCTGTCTAGCCTCGGCTGCGTTTAGGGCCGTCACCAGGGGTCGCTGTGGTACCAGCAGCCCCAAGGCATGCAAGCCACAGCGTCTTCCGTCCTAATCACGCCCCAGGAGGCTGGGCCAAGTATTGTTCTGAAATATGCACATATTTATAAGAAGCTCTGGTAGTTTGTTGTTGTTGTTGTTAAGTGCCATCGAGTCGGGTCCGACCCATAGCGACCCTGTACAGGGTTTCCAAGGGTGTAAATCTTTACGGGAGTAGAAAGCCTCATCTTTCTCCCGCGGAGCGGCTGGTAGTTCCGAACCGCTGACCTTGAGGTTCGCAGCCCGATTCGTAACCACTACGCTACCAGAGCTCCTGGTAGTTTAGTGGTTACAAATGGGGCTGCTCATTTCCTGGTCAGCAGTTCGAAATTACCGCGGGAGAAAGATGAGGCTTTCTGCTCCCATAAACAGCCTAGGAAACCCTGTACAGGGTCGCTATGAGTCGGAACCGATTCCACGGCACATAACAACAACATAGGCATTTAAAAGTGGAATCCCGGCGGAGTCATTTAAAAGTGGAGTCCAGATTGCGAATCACAAGGTCGGCAGTTCAAACCCACAAGCTGCTCCTTGGAAATCCTACCTTACAGTTCAAACTGACCTTGTGGGTCAGGCAGCGCATGAACCTACAGCGCCACACCAAGACTTCTTGGGTTAGTTATTGGGTTAGTTAATGCCAGTCAGTCAGTTCCCATTCATAACGACCCTTGTATATAGGGTTTCCAAGGAGCGGCTGGTGAGTTTGAACCCCCGACCTTGCAGTCCAGTGCATTAACCCACAGTGCTACACTAGTGCTTTGGGTTGGTGGCCAAACTCAAATGATCTTCAATGTTCTTCACCACCTAGAGAACGTTGAATTGGTTCTGATTCATATGCACAACAGAATGCAACTCTGCCCAGTCCTGCACCACGCTCACAATGAGTGTTCTGTCTGAGCCCACACTGTTGCGGTCACTGGAAGACCATCTCCAAGGTCTTCCTCTTTTTCAAGCACAATGTCCTTCTCCAGATGATAGTTTTTCCTGACAACATGTCCAGTGTGAGGGATGAAGTCTGGCCATCCTTGCTTCTGAAGAACATTCTCCCTGTACTTCTTCCATGGTACTTCCAGTGTTCTGCTCCAAAACCGTAATTTAAATGCACGGGTTCTCTGCAGTCTTCCTTAGTCATTGTCTTTGTCCAGCTTTCACATGCATATATGTTGTTGCTGTTATTAAGTGCTGTTCTGATTCATAGAGACTCTATCGAGATTTTCTGAGGACTGGCTGGTGTGTTTGAACCGCCAACCTTGTGGTGAGCAGTCCAGTGCTTAGCCTATAACCTGCCAGGGCTCCATGTATATGAGGCAATTAAAAATAGTATGGCTTGGGTCAGGCATACTTTAGTCCTCAAAGTGATATATTTGCTTTTTAATGCTTTTGCAGCTGATTTGCCTAATGTCGTTTGATTTCTTGGCTGTTTCTTCCGTAATTGTTGATTGTGGATTCAAGCAAAATGAAGTTTTTGACAGCTTCAATCTTTTCTACATTTATCATGATGCTCTTTACTGGTCCAAGGAGCTCTGGTAGCGTAGTGGTTATGAATCGGGCTGCTAACCTCAAGGTCAGCAGTTCGAAACTACCAGCGGTTCCACGAGAGAAAGAAGGCTTTCTGCTCCCGTAAAGATTTACAGCCTTGGAAACTCTATGCAGGGTCACTATGAGTCGGAACCGACTCCACGGCACATACCCACCACCATTTACTGGTCCAGTTGCACCTCCATTTCTTCACAACGTGAGAATCCTGCACTTGTGGAATCCTTAATGCTATTTCTCAAACACACTAAAGCATCTTTGTAGCCAGCCAATGGTGTTCCTACCCTGTCTGAACCTCAGTTTCCCCCAACAGTAAAGAGGATGAAAACCCATCATTCTGGCAAAACTACAAATTTGTCTTTAGCGCCAGAGAGGGAGAGTGACTGTGTGCTGAAGACCTGGGGGATACGGGGAAGGATTGCATGGAGGGGCTTATAACCATGGCAATGAGACAATATACGATAGAATGAATGTAAGACTGATGTTCTCCCATGTAAACTATCACATAATTCACAATAAAACATTAAAAAAAAAAAAAAAACTACAAATTTGTTACAATGCCAAGAGTTAGTGAGGAGGTGGTGGAAGTGTAACTGGCCAAATGACTCTAGAGAGCAATCTGTCAACACCCATCAAACCTCGATGGTACAAGCCCATAGCTGCCTTTGCCCTTCAGAGCTGTGGCTCTGTTCCCATCCCAATAATAACAAGGAGAGTCTAACATACATGGTGAAGCGATTGGCTATTAACTGAAAGGCTGGCTGTTCAAACCCACCTATTTGAATTGTGTCGTTTTCCCCCCCCCCCAAAGTATGTGTTGTAAAACTTCCCCTTGTAATAGTTTAATCCCTTTGGATTGAGTATTCTTTGCTATGTTAATGAGAGTGTGGAATGTGTCTTTTAGTCCATCTCTTTTGAGATACAAAAGAGATTGAGTATGCAAGTGAGCTAGCTGAAATGGGGGAAGAATGGCACTTAGAGACCATGAGAGAAAGTTTCCACCTTTCCCCAGAACTGACAGCCTTTTCCTTGAGCTGTGCCCTAAATTCAGACTCCTAGCCTCCTAAAGTTTTGAAAAATGTCACTTTGAGGACTAGGTGCACCTGACCCTATGCATGTGAAAACCGGACAATAATTGAGGAATGGTGGTGGTGATGTGCCGTGGCGTCGGTTCCGACCCATAGCGACCCTGTACAGGGTTTCCGAGGCTGTAAATCTTTACGGGAGCAGAAAGCCTCATCTTTCTCCTGCAGAACCGCCGGTAGTTTCGAACTGCTGACTGTGAGATTAGCAGTCCAACTTATAACCACTACGCTACCAGAGTAGTGACCACCAGAGGAATACCAAAGAATACTTGATGGCTTTTAATTGTGATGTTAGAGAAAAATATTGACTATTCCATGGACTGCCAGAAGAACAAACTAATCTGTGTTGGAAGAAGTACAACCAGAGTGCTCCTGAGAAGCCAGCATGGTGAGCCGTTGAGTCTCATGTACTTTGGACGTGTGATCAGGAGATATCAGTCCCTGGAGAAGGACCTCGTGCTCGGTGAACTAGTTGTTGTTGTTAAGTGCCGTTGAGTCAGTTCCGACCCATAGCGACCTTGTACAGGGTTTCCGAGGCTGTAAATCTTTATGAGAGCAGAACGCCTCATCTTTCTCCCGCGGAGCAGCTGGTAGTTTCGAACTGTTGGCCTTAAGGTTCGCAGCCCAATTCGTAACCACTACGCTACCAGGGTGAACTAGAGAGTTAGTGAAAACGAGGAAGACCTTCAAGGAGATGGATTGACAAAGTGGCTTTAACAATGGTGTCAAACTCGGCAACGATTGTGAGGTTGGTGCAGAACCAAGCAGTGTTTCTTCTGTTGTGCATAGGGTCACCGTTGTGCATAGGGTCACCGTTGTGCATAGGGTCACTGTTGTGTATAGGGTCGGACTGACTCAACAACACCTAACAACAACAACAAAATTGTGAGACAGTACATTTTAGTTTGTTAAAACCATTCACTTGTGACATTTCTGTTATAGCAGCAATCGATAACTAAAGACACCACCCAAAGGCACCTTGGACGAAAGTCCTGGCAATTTGCTTCAGAATGGTCACAGCCATGAAAACTCTATGGAGTGCATCCTACCCTGACATACATGAGTTATCATGAGTCTGAACTGATGCATGGCAACTTAAAAAAATAGAAAAGAAAACATGAAACAAATGTCTCTCAGGACAATCCTTACCCTCATTATGGTCAATGCACTTGACTGTCTTTGATTCTATTTCATTATGTTTCATTAAAGGAATAATCTTGCTTGCAACCCACAAAATCGATTTCATAACCCATTAATGGGTCTTGTTCTGCAGTTTGAAACATACTGCCCTAAGAAACTCCAAGAGACAAACTCCAAGAACCAAATATTAATTGCAGCTTTGTTGGAAATGGAGTAGACTGGCAATGAGGAAAGAATCCATCCCCAGGAAAAAGAGATGCATAAATTGTGATCTGTTCTCACTCTGGCCTCCCATACCTAAGATGAATGAACTATATACACATACCAATGCGCATGAATCTGAAAAACAATGATGAGTAAACAAAAAACAAACAGGTGTAAAATGAGAAGTACAGTACAATGTCATTTGTGTTTTT